TATTATTCAAATGTGAATGGTTTGACCCAACTATGGATGTTGGTGTTAAAAGGCACAATCAGTACAAATTGGTTGATATTAACCATCGTCGTCGATATAAAAAATATGAACCTTTTATTCTTGCAATGCAAGCAACACAAGTGTGTTATGTACCTTATCCTAGCAAGAAAAAAAGACAAGGATGATTGGGCAGCTGTACTGAAGGTCAAACCTCGAAATGTTATTGAATTGCCTAATGAGGAAGTGGCAACAGTTTCAGAAGTAAATGTTCCATTTCAAGTTGAAGAAGTTGAAGTCCACGAGATAGATATGACTGTTTCCATTGATGAAAACATACTCTTAAATGATCCAAATGGAGATGTAATTGAAATGGATGAACCCATTGATGATGGATTATTGCAAGAGAATCATGAAATCCACATAGAATCCACAGAAGAAGAGTATGAAACTGAGGAAACTGAGGAGAATGAGGATGAGGAAGAGGAGGAGTTTGAAGAAGACAGTGACTAGTGCTTGATCATCTGCTATTGTATTTTCACTATATTTTGTTTGTTTCTAATTTTCAATCGAGGATAATCTGCTGTAGTTTCTGCTTTTCAATTTAGGATTTTTAAAAGAAATAACTCTTGGCTTTGAACTATGTGTGTTTTATTTCTAATTTCAATGTGGTTTCAAACAAGTAAGCACTTTGGGAGACTTATTGTTATGTAAATTCTTGAGCTCAATAGATCATTTCTTTTAAATGAATGACATTACTTGATTGTGATTGTGTAACAATCAGGTTCTGGAGCCTTATCAAAAGCACATGATATGATGGTATTGAAAATTCAAGCCTCTTAAAAGGCTTCTCCCTTTCCCTAATGTCATCATATGTGATTGTGTCCAAATTTTCAAAATATGTTATAGATTTCTAATGCTCATTCTTTGTGTAAAGCTTCTGATAAAAGTTCATGATCCCTTTACTCTTGTTACTCTTGTTATAGATAACTATGTTACTCTTGTTACTCTTGTATTTCCATGTACCAATTTTTTCACTTGATCAATAAGCTCTTACAGAGACAGTTTTAATATTTCAGCACTGTTCCACGTAATATCATTATTATGGATTATGCTTAATTTCATTTTGTATCTGTCATGATCTAACAACAATGTTATATTTGTTTATAGGTATGGCTCGAGGCAGAGGTCGTGGAAAATCCTCAGGTAGGAGTAATCCTGCTATTCGTGTAAGCATGCCAACTATTCCCAAGCCCACTATAGTTTCTCCTCAGCAAGGTGGTACCCCAACCAATACGTCAACTCAAAGTATCAGCCCAACTATAACACCCCGTATTTGAAACAGACCGAAAATGCAGATTTTGAGGAGTTGCAGGTGCAACCCACAGTTGACATCCACGGACCGTAGGTCAGACCACGGCCCGTGCTGGTGGTCCGTGGTTCACCACTGCAACCCCTCCCCAGCCAAGCTCAGAAAATTGGCTAAGTCTCGACTCACGGACAGACCCACGGTCCGTAGATCAGACCACGGTCCGTGGTCTGTGTCCGTGGATCGAGACTTCCCTTACCCAGCCTCTGACACAAACTACGGTCGACCAGAACGGACCGTCATTCGATCCACGGTCCGTAGGTCTGACCGTAGATGAGGGTCAGCAGCTAATTAGCTGAAATTATTGATGGGTCAACTTCAGATGGTCATAACTTTTAGCACAAAAGGAATTGTGTGTCCCATTACCTATGGTATGATAGATAATTGAATTATATTTCCAACGCCACCGAGTTTGCTAAATTCCGACTTCCGAGTAAAAAGTTATGCTCGTTTTAGTGAAGCCCTGAAGGGCAGACTCGACCTACGGACCCAATCGACGGTCCGTCGATTGATTGACGGCCCGTCAGTCCAATCCGTCGATCACTCCGATAGCAGTTAATTCAGGGCTCTTTTGGTCTTTTCCTATTTCGTTTAACCCCTAAGATACGTTATTTAAACCCTAAATCATGAGGTTTTCATCAGTTTAAGCCTAGAAACATAACTAGAACTTCTCCAAGTCAATTCACTAATCAAATTCTTAGAAAATTAGAATCAAGAGAGGAGAAAAAGGTCAAGAACCCTAGTTCAAGAACGAAGCAAGGTTCCATCAGTTCCAGCCCAGAAATTGAAATATTTCTCCATGAAATTTGTCACCAGGTATGTGGGATTTTACTGGTGGGTCCCTTTCGCCCATTAGGTCCCTAGAATTCAG